GGTCATGTTTAGCTCCTTTCTTCTCACCTGTCAGTGGACTCAGATGGCTGCGTGCTGACAGGGATGCGAGGCAGTGAAAGGTGAAAGAGCCCAGTAGAAAGGATGTAACAGTTAGATGAAAGGAGACAAAGACACATCGCTGACCTAAAATGGGCTGTGGTGACACTGGGCATGTGTGTGTTTGCGCGCAAGCAGAGGCCATCCCTCTGCCACCTTCGCCTCCAGCCATACTTTACTCACAGCCACTCAGAGCCATTAGCAAACCACAGTCACTGTGTCACCCACAAGAACACAGGTACACACACACACACACACACACACACATGCGATGTAAGCTTAGAAATGCCCCGATCCAAGGTCTCACCAACCACCGCTCCCTGCTCACCAGATGTGACTAAGACCCTGTTTTTAAACATCTTCCCCCGCAGGGCAGAGGAGGCAGCAGTGGGGGTAGAAGGGGAAGGAGAGTAAGAAGGCAAAGGAGTAGTGGTTTTCAGAGAAGAGGTGGTAAGGGCTAAAGGTTTTTTTTTTCCCTCTGTTTTGCAAATCTGGTTCTATTTAGCACAGCCCTGGAACACATTTCATAAATTGCAGACATATTTTTTCAGAGTGGTTTTGGGGAAGATAGTTAACCGGCAGTAATTTCCAACACATGGCAGCCGTCATGTGATATTTTGAAAACACCAGGCAGACAAGCTTGTTCCCTCTCCTACTGGCCCCCCAGGAACCCCCACTCTCTTACTGTTAGCCTATGCCCTCTTTTTTCTGTGCTTGTCCTCTGCCTCCTGTATTTGATTTCCCATCTGTCTCTCATATGCCCTAAATGTTATCTCTTGTTTACAGGCTCTCCCTTCAGCATCCTTACCTCTCTTTTCTCAGCTCTTTCTTGATCTGTTTCCCACATCTGTTTTCAACCCTCACCCTTTCATCCTTGTCTGTTTTCCTACATGTCACGCTAAATAACTGTACTCTCACTTAGCCTCCATTGTATATCACTCCACTCATGCGCCCCCTTTATCCATCCTTCCTCTAACTGGGTGTCTCCGTCTCTCTCCACGTGGTAAGAGATAACTGTCATGTAAAACACGACGGCCTTTACTGTCTGTTGAAAATTGATCTTGCTGCTGAGGCCTGGAATATATTATATAATATTCCTTTCAGCATGGACACACACACAGATACAAATTGGGTTCCATCTGGCTTACGGCTCCAACACACTGTAAGCTTTCAGCAATCTTATATATTTTATTGAAATCCGCACTGTGGATCTAATAAATCTGGGTAGGACATCAAGTTAGATGTAGACTGTGTGATGATAACACCAACTGAATCGTGGGCTGCAGTGCCCAGCTGTGCTCCAGTATTGCTACTTCCTTCTTGTTGCAGTCACGATAACAGCTGGGACACACATCATACAAACAAACGTAACGCCGCAACTGTTGGTTGGTTTGCTGGTTAGCAGACGTAGGTCATGGCCGCAGTCAAACTGTGAGATGTCAGTACCCTCTGGCCCAGGCCATGCAGTGACCAGCTTTGAACCTCTCTCTCTGTGCAACAACCTAAAAAAATCATCATGATTCCTTCACATTGGTAGCGAGGAACTCCACATATATATATATAATGAAGCCAGAGGCCAGAGGGTTTGATACGGAAAGGCCTCATTCACCCTGATACCTTTAAAGGAGGTTGGCAAGCAGAGAAAAAAGGGGCGCAAGAGTGGCTCATGGAAACAAAAGCAAATGTGCGTTATTTATAGTGTCTGAGGTGTGGTCCAGCTCCTGAAATTCAGATGTATTATCTCCAATTGAGCGAACATAAAATGGAAATAATAAAAATGCCTGTTGGGCATGCGTGCGAGCCTGTATCATTGTGAATTAGTGTGCTTGTGTTTAGAGATGGAGTGGCTATATGAGTGATTTTAAGCTGTACTTGAGCTACAGACCTGAACAGTTCTCATAAGGGGTTTGTGTATAAATGTGCAGCCTGTTCTCATAGCGGTTATTGTAGCGCTGACATATATGCATGTCAAAACGCACAACCTATATCGAGGTTCAAAAAGCAATTTCGCTGCTCTACACTGTGGACTAAAGAGGTTACAGACTGGCTGTGTGGGAAGCTTTAGAAAATAAAGCCATGTGTCATCGGCATTAGGATGTGTGCTGAGAGTTTTGTGTGAGTCCTTTGCTGGCGAAGAGTCTTGCCTGGGAAAACGCCCAGACCCATTTGGGCTCACTTTGCTCTGTGTCAGCATGGCATCAGAAATGAACCAAACTGTATACAGAAAGCAGTTTCCAATAGGCTGGCTTCCATCAAGTGACCAAACATGGCTCACCGAGGCTTACATCTGATTTACATCATTCTATTTTTTCCCCCCAAAACACACCATTTATATCATGATTTAGACATCATGTTGTTAATGAAAATGACAAGCCAGCTTTATATAAATAAACGATGTCTTTGATGGACTATTCTAAATATGTTGAGCCCCGTTTGGCCCCGCTGTGGAAAAATGTCAGATGCAATTAACATTTCTAGTTCCACCAGCACTTTAATAATGGTAAACTCTGCTCATAATGGCGGTAAATCTCCCGAACTCGCTGTTTGTCACTCTGCAGCTCCTGTCTTTACTTTTACCTCTCGCTGACCCTAGTCTTCTGTCACACACATCCATTGCTCATCTTTACTTTTAAAAGAGCTCGTAGTTCAGCTTTGCCTGGCAACAAGATGTGGCAGGAGTACTTTCGATTTGAGAGGATGCATAACGGGCACTGTGAATCATTTTTATTGTTCCTTAACACTTGCTTCCCCTCTCTGTGCAAGTGAGACTTTTTCTTTTCAACAGATGGGTAAAACAGACATTACTATAAATCTGACTTAAAAAAAAAAAAAAAAAAGAGCTTCTGATGCTATACACCACATATGTTTTATTGACCGCTGTGTGTGTATGTGTGCAAACGTGAGCGTAGGTCTGAAAGATCGACGTGTTTTTGTATGCATATATGCACGTATATGTGTGTGTTAAAGTTTGTGTGGTGGAGCAGATGGTGCTCAGACCTCTGTGTGCAGTTGAGAAATCTCCGTATGTTGCACTGAGAGAAAAATAAAGATATGGTGGGAGATGAAAAAGACTGTCAGCATTGATCCAGAGCCAGTCTGTTTGCAAAGTTTTAGTGCTGTATTGTACCACATTTTCACTGTTACACTCATCAACGGGGAAAGATTAGGGATGGAAATCCATATTGTTCAATTTCCTGGGAAGATTATCTTTTCCTTTAAACAGTGTTTTTCTTTTTTAGACAGCTGTACAAATGTTGTCAATGCACTTCCTTCACATAGAAAGTTAACCAGAAATTGATAATACACGACCAAGCAATAATCTAATCAATATGGCATCGGTATCTATAAAATGATATCCAAACCAACCCCTCCATGCAGCACAAGCACACAAGAAACTGATCATTAATATAATCACAAAGGGTGGGAATGATAAATATGATTCAGTTCAGGTCCCCTATTCTCATCATTCAAATCTATTGCAAGTAAACACAACCTTTAACCCCCAAACTTCCAGAATCACCAGTGAGCCATATTTCAGTGAAGCAAACACCCGGGTGTAACATACATCAATAGTAAGATGATGGACTCTTAAACTACTTCACCAGCTGGCCGGTCAGGACAACATTGGAAGTTATTAGTTCATTTTTTTTCTTCACTGTGTTAAATGACTTAACTATCAGTCCATGTCTTAACCCCATCTCTGATTACCCCGAAATATAAATGATGGATGTTTAACACGAGGGAAACCAACATCACCTTCTTCATTTGTGGTAAATGTTAAACGAACATGTAAAGCAATCGTTTAAAGCAATTAAACACATAATTGCTATTGACAGTTTGCTGACTTTAACAAGCAGAAACTACATTGTGTGCACTGGACATGCATAATTTAACGTTGCTGATATTAAGCGTTAAGCAAAAACCAACAGTGAACTTTCAGGAACAATACGTGATCACCAGTGAGTG